CATGGATGGTAAGGGCCTAATGTGTGTAGAAGCCAGTGGGACTGTGAACAACAAAAGCCATGGCCAGAGGCAGGTGGAGATCCAGTAGAATTCACTATCAAAGATGCCAAAGAAAGACGATGGAGTCCGTAACTCCGGCTCAGTAGGTAAAGGAATCAGTGTCCTAAGTTAGTCCCCATCCCTGCCGACCACCATGGGTGTGCCGCTACATCTAACGCTGGCTCTTCCCAGCACTTAGCTTACCTGCGATTAATCACTGATCATCTACTTGCCAGCTTCCCCTCTCAACAGCGAGGCCACAGAGCCAGGGACCATGCCACCTCAGCTCCATCCTCTAGTCCTTGGTCACTGCTGCCTCCTGTCCCCTTCCCTGTCTCCTTCTCCCCTCCCTCTAATAAATTGGAAAAGGGGGGGACTTAGGACCCTGTGGGAGAAAGTGCAAACTATACAATTGGAATTTGGGGTACAGCAAAGCTGAGTGCCTGTGAAAAATGGGAGTCCATGTTGTTTATTATACAACAGGGTGGCCCGCCTTTGAGGGTAGCCGGTTGCACTTTTGGTACCCTGGGTCCATAGAACACAAACTCTAAGCTCCACAATGGCAATTGTGCAGGAATTGTGTGTGGAAACAGTCCTTTCCCAGTGTTCACCACCCCTGGAAGCCTCCTCCATGCTTAATCTACCAGGTAGTGGCACTTGTCCCCGTTATCTATGGAGGGGATGGTGGCCCCTGAATCCATAGTGACTGTGTTCATGCTTTCCCAACTCTCCTGCCCTATGTCCTACCTGTCCTGATGTGATCTTTCTCAGGATGAGGCTGGACGATGTCTCTTCTGTGTTTTGATCTTCCTCACTCCCAGAGGAGGGACATCTTCCCCCTAGGCAATAAGAGCCTGAGACAGCACCAGCAAGAGATTAACAGAAGAGTTGAGTAGCTGAGGTTAGATGGTGAGCATTCTTGGAGTGCTTGCACAGAGCGTCTCCAGGTGATGAGACAAGACAGCATGTTTATGAAAATGTCAGCAAGACAGTTGGAGAGGGTGAACTGGGGAGTGGCATGAGGTCATTCTTTCTCTGTAATGACTGTAGCCACTTCTGAGTAGCATCCACTGTGTGCCAGGTGTGGTGGCAAACATCCCATCATTAACCCCTTACAAGCTCCATGAGTGAGCAGTCTGATCTTCATGGCCATGGCCCGGGCCATCCTCCTTAAGAGCCGGACTCCCTGTTTCCTGCATCCAGCTGGCATGAGGCCCAGGAGCCTGCGTGTGAGGTTCCTTGAGGGCTACAGGCTGTCACAGACATGAAATACATCCTGGCCTCCTCGGCGCTGGGGATTGAGCTCTCTGTCACGCGTGACTCTGTGTCTGTCCGTGACAGTGACATGGAGGCGGGGCACAGGGCTGGGGGGAGGGTCAGATGCCTGGGAAGGTGTCTGAAGCATGTCTGCAGGTGCTGGTTGTGGGTCTGAGGCCTCAGGGAGGGATTGTTTGTCCCAGTACATTACTGCACTTGTCTCCATGTGTTTGTGTGTAGAGGGACGCTTCTCTTACCTGGGTGTTTCTGGGTCTGTCCATAACTCCGTACCCGTTGAACGCAGAAGTGGGAATGGAGATGCCTGGTTAGAGAGAAGCAGGTTAGAGAAAATAAATGCAGGCAGACAGAACACACTTCCATCACGTGTTCAGAGACACTGGGTGACACACAGAGAAATACGTACTGCTGCCTCTTTGGTGTGCTTTCTCCAGTGGGTGGGCGTGGACCTTTGAAGGATGCACATCTGGTGTACCCAGTTACCCTCAGACACACATTGAACAGTGGCTAGGGACCCATGGAAACACACACAGACAGTCGGTTGACACAGATACACACCACCTAGTTGCCCTCAGACAGACAGCAGCTAGCTACAGGCAGAAACACACATGTATAGACATTTAGATTCCTTGCATCTTTGCGTGTGTATTCATATGTGTTTCTCTGAGTATACAGACACTTCTGTATCAGTACACCAGGGGTGCATGTAGGGGACAGGAACATGTAAGCACACACTTGGGCAAACATATACATATACATATAGTCATATACACATATATGACATATACATATAGCTTTGATAGCTCTCTACAAGGGTATCTGAGACTCTGAGAGTCGCGAAGCCATGATGCCATTATAGTGCTGGGAAGAGGCCAGAAGAGAAGGCTGGAGGTGGCCCACCTGGCAGCCACATGAGGGTTCACATGGCCACACTCCCCAGTGGGTCAGTCAGTGAGTACTCACCGATGAAGCCTTTGAGGTCCCCAGGCTATCTCTAGATTCTAGGATGCTATAAGAAAGGTCTCATTAAGAATTTACCCCATCCGCCAGGCGGCAGTGGAACACACCTTTAATCCCAGCACTCGGGAGGCAGTACCAGGTGGATCTCTGTGAGTTCGAGGCCAGCCTGGTGTACAGAGTGAGATCCAGGAACAGGCACCAAAACTATGCGGAGAAACCCTATCTCAAAAAACAAACAAACAAAACAACAACAACAAAAAAAGAGAATCTACCCCATCCATAGTGAGCCATAGTCCCCATGGGACAGGTAAGGCTTACCATGAATTATCAGGCCATGGGGCTCTGAGGGATACCTTCTGGGAAGGGGCATATTGCTGCTCCTCCTCACTGGCTCTGTGAACCAGTCCATGACGTGTTCCATTGTCCTCCACACTGAAGCAGGGAGACTAGGAACCTCAGCTTTATGGACTCCTTGGGGCACCGTGGCTTACCCAGCAGTCACCAATTGGACGTCCACAGTGGGCTCAGAGGCTCCCATTGGTGAACACACCTATGTGGAAGCTGGCCAATAAAACGCCAACACATAACCACGCTGCGCAGTCAGCACCAGGAAACACCAAACACAGGCTCTTAGGCAGAGGGGCTGGCGGTGGAGGGGCTGGGCTGACATGAGCCTTTAGAGAGAGGGGGTTGTATCATAAGATGGAGACAGAGGAGTGAGTGGCTGATAAAGAAAAGCATGATGGGAAGGAATGCCAACCACAAAGGCCATTTTGTTTCATTATTACCTTGCACCTCTCCCATTTTACAGATAAGCAAATGGAAACCCAGGGAAGCTGGTGAATTCTTCGTGCACTCTCTAGCCAATGAGAAAGGCATTCAGGACTTGAGTCCTGCCATGTGGCTACAAAGCCAGAGATCTTAGTGGTCCTCAGTGAGGGTGAATTTGTTCTCTAGAGGATAGTTGGTAATGTCTGGATACATTTTGGTTGGTACAGCTGGACTGGGATGCTCCTAGCATCCAGTGTCGAGGGTTAGGGACACTGTTAGGGATTCCACAGTGAACAAGACAGCACCAACAACATGGCAGGATGCTACCACACAGTCAGTCACTCTGGCATTGAGAAGCCCTGGCCTGACCTTGCAGAGCACCCGAAAGAGTATGACCCATAGTAGATGTTTAAGATGGTATCTGTAGACGACAAGGGGGAGATTGGAGAAGACTGCAGAGGGGAAAGTATGCAAATAAGCCTATCCCTTAACAAAGCTTGAGAGGGTGTTGGATGCTGGGTAGCTATGAAGGGCAAGCACCCTGTGCCCCAGGGGTGTGGGTGCGGGCAAGCCAGCGGGATCAAGGACATTGGTGGGCTGGGTTAGGGCTGAAGCTTGGCTGCCGTCAGCTGCTGAAACACTAACCAGACAACTTCTTTCTCTGTCCCTCTCCCTCCCCATGTCTCTCCCCATCTCTCTTGGCCCCTGTGCCCAACAGCAGACAGCCGGAGGCTGAAGGGTGCCATTCAGAGGAGCACAGAGACAGGACTGGCCGTGGAGATGCCCAGCCGGACACTGCGCCAAGCCAGCCATGAGTCCATCGAGGACAGCATGAATAGCTATGGCTCGGAGGGCAAGTGAGTGTGGGGCCTGCACCTCCCTGCAGCCCTCCTGCTCCCAGTCTTCTCGGTGGGGGAGGGATTAAGCAAGCCTCTCAAGAACCCTTAGTTCTTGGGCCAGTGGGATGTTGACTAAGCCTTTTGGGCCTTCAGATGAAATCGGTAAGGTGCAGAGCCTAGGTTTTATGCTTGATCCCAGCTCTACCACTTTGGAGCTGTGTGACCTTCAAGAGGTCACATCCTTGAAGCTCTGTTTCCTTGTCTGTAAAATGAGGCAAGAGCATCAAACACCTTGGGATTGTGATGGTTAATGTTAGCTGCAATTTTATAGGCTATAGGATCAACCACTTTGGGATTGTGATGGTTAATGTTAGCTGTCAATTTTATAGGCTATAGGATCACCTAGGCCTCCAGGCACATCTGGAAGGAATTATTTAGTCTCTGGCCATGCCTGTGAGGGTTATGTTGGTTTAATGGAGTTGGGAAGACCCCCACTCAAAGTGGACAGCACCATTCCTTGGGTGTGGGTTCTTGGGTGTGTGCTTCCCATCTGACCAGCTGCTTCCAGTTCAGCTGCCTCGACTTCCTGCTGTGATGGTCTGTACCCTAAACTGTGAGCTGAAACCTACCCTTCCTCCCTTCAGCCACTAGCCTCACAGTGTTTCATCACAGCAGCAGGAGAAAAGAAGAGACACAGATGTTGTGAGGATTAAGTGTTCACAATCGTTGTAATCCTGAGTTAATATGTATAAAGAACATAGGACAGTGCTTGGCACCTACTGTATACCAGTATTGGAAGATAAACCAGAGAAAGGAGTCACTGGGGTTCAGTGATATATCATTATTGTTTCCTTTTTCTTTAGTTTTTAAAATCCCAGTTGGGTTTTAAAAATACAAACTAGGGCTTGACAAAGACTCATGTATGTCAAGTCTTGAGAAGGTTGTGCTGCCTGGCTTCTCGCCAGAGTTTCCTTCGGGGCTGCAGACCAGGATCTGGGTGCGTGTTACAAATGCAGATGACAGGGCTCTGTGTCCCAGCCACCCAGTCAGTGTGTCTGGGAGGGAGCCCAGGAAGTCAGCTTTTCAGCCTTCTGGAGGAACCCATCTAGGCTAGGGGCTCACCTTCATGGGGCCCTTGGAAGACTAGAGGAAGTTTGAGGTTTGCCTCCCCTGATGAGCACACCTGCACACACACACACACACACACACACACACACACACACACTCAGACACTCGCACACACACTCACAGAGTCACACAAACCTATTCTTTTCTGTTTCCCTTCATGCCCATCCATAAGTTCCTGGCTAAAACTTTTAGATTCAAAATAACTCCATACTGTACAGACAGCCCAGCACTCAGAGGGGGTTGGGGGTTTGCCCAAGGCCACACAGCCACTAATATATGGAACTCAGAGTCCTGACCCCCAGCTGGAGCTTACTCTACACGACCACATTGCTTCGTTTTTCCAGTTGTCGTTTGAGGCGAGGAAGGGACCTGGTGCCACGTTCCCTGTCGTCACACACGAGGGAACTGAGACTTGGGAAGGTCTCTGCCACCTATCTGTGCAGGTGTCTGCTGCACGTGACTATATAACTGTAAATGGACTGGAATGAAACAAACCGCCATGCTCCTCTGTCAGGCTAACTCCATTCAGGTCCCCGTGGCTGCACGTAGTTCACGGCAGTTGCATTGGATAAGGCAAGAAACAGAACATTTTGTCTTCATTGTCTTCATGGGGGTTTTGCAGGATTGCGCTGGCTGAGTGAGTGGCTTACCCCCTCACAGCTGGCGACTGGGTGCAGACTCCAGCCAGCTTGGGGTGGGAAGGGCTCAGCCTCTGACTCCCGCTGGCTAAAAGCCTTGTCCCCGACCCCCCACCCCCATCCCCCCTCACACACACTCTACCCTCACCCGTCCCACACTGGGTGTCTCTGGCCTTATGAATGGCCTGGACCTGGCAGAGCTGCTGGTCCACCCACCTCAAGGGAGACTTTCCTGTGGGAGGGAAGAGGGGTGGACAGCGGAAGGGAGAGGAGGAGGAAGAGGAGGGGGAGAAGGAGGGCAACGGCCGGCATTTTGTGTAACCTAAGACACTTGGCAGGGCAGCTAAGCTTGGAAGAAGTTATCCAGGCACCCAGGGAGTAGCGAGTGCCTTCCTACTCACAGGTACCAGTCTGATTCAGGAGGCCTGAGGCCCAGTCTTGTCCCTGCTACTGGCACATTGGGTACCTCTGTGATCTCTAGGCTGGAAGATATCATGTTGGCCTTGAGAGATGAAAAGAACCGGGTCCCGGGGAAGCAGTGTGGTGCCCGAGGTGGCAGCTGACGTATCGAAGCTGCAGTCCTACGTCACGGAAAAGAAAAGACAGGCTCAGGCCATCACAGAGCTGCAGTCCTCCATCATGGAGAAGAAAAGACAGGCTCAGGCCATCACAGAGCTGCAGTCCTCCATCATGGAGAAGAAAAGACAGGCTCAGACCATCACAGGACTCCCGCAGGGGAAGCACAGTAGGAGGGTATCACGAGGAAGAAAAGATGCTTGTGGGTAGAAAGTGGCTCTGGGTAGCATTTGCTGACGTGTGCTTACAGGGACCAGAGAGTTCAACTAACTGCATTACAGGCAGGGTCAAAATAGGCTCAGCAGTCGGGCAGCCCTGGCCTGAGGTTCGTGCTTCTTAGTAGCCATGCTGCTTTGGGGAAGGCTCTGAGCCATTTGTCCATTGTAGAAAGGGGGCAGTAATAGAGGGAGCTGCCCAGAGAGCAGTGGTGAGGGGGAGTGGATATATGGGAAGCACCTAGAAGAGTGAGCAGCACACGGCTGACAGTGATGATGGTCACTGTCAGTGTTGCTTAGTGTTAATTCAGCCACTGTGAGCTGTGTGGTTTGGGTCAATTGCTAACAGATAGGGTGAGCCATCCCTCATACAAATGAGTCCACAGAGTGCAAATGAGCACCGAGCAGGTACTGGCTGTAGTGGCCATTAAATGTTTTGGGAAACTGAGGGAGGATGAAAGGTCTGGAAGATACTGCTTCCAGCAGTGGGGACAGACGATAATAAATACATGACAACTTCATATGCCGTGTGCCAAGTCTGGAAAGAGAAAGGTGGAAGGACTTTATGTCCTTGGTGGCATCACCAGCCTACGAAGCCACCCCAGAATTATCAAGCCCAAGAAATCTAGAAAGGATTGAATCTTGTTGGAGGCCAGCCAGGTTCTGCCACCTCACCCAGCCCCTGGGTGAGGAAGGGACAGGGAGTGTTCATCTGTGGCCATCCCCTTCTGTTCCTTAGGTATTTGGAGAGCTGGTCAGACCCAGCTGCCAGGCTCTGGAACAGGAAGGGGTGGGAGTGCCCTCCCCTGTCCCCACCTCTTGGGTTCTTGCCAGCCCAGCAGATGCTCACAGGGAGCCGACCTCGAGTGAGGAGAGTCCCACAAGGCCACCATCCCTGGCATTCCTGGATTGGGCTACTGAGCACCCAGCTACCAGGCATGTAAAGGCACTGGGGCTTTCCACATGAGTTTCCATATTCCATATCAACACATGTGATTGGTCACCTGTATTATGCCAGATAGCTGGGTTGGCGATCGTGGAAATTATGTCCTCAGGAACTTCCACTGTAGGGCACTGGCCAATCATCCAGAAACTGATACAAAAGGCAGGTATGAAGATGGTGGCCAAGCTGTGATCCCAGCCAGGTTTCCAGGCAGAGAAATACATGCAGCTTAGACCTCTGTCAGTGAATTTCCTGTAGGCTCTAGGGTAGTAGTGACTTCACCCCTTCCTGTTGAAAAGTGTGGACCATATTTCAGCAACAACAGCACCCCCTGGGTGCCTGTTAGAAATACAAATCTCAGCCCTATCCACACCCATTGGGTCAGAATCCATATGACACCAAGATCCCCAGCTGGTGGGTCAAGACACCCTTCTTAATGGCCACATCAGCCATGTAAATGCTGTAGAAAGCATTGTGCAGACACTGTGCCAAGGGCTCTGACCTATGTTGACTCATTTAATCCCCATAACAGCTGGATGGTGGTGTGAATGCTAATAGCCCCATTGTAGAAGAGGAAATGCTAGGGGGTGATTTGCCCAAGGTCACAGGGCAAGGAAGCAACTGAGCTGGGATTCATATCCAGGCTTCTGCCCAATTACACTCAACCCCTTCTCCTGTTTAATTGTTGTATCAATGCACATTTCTGGAGCAGAGAACACAAAGTCCCTCCATCTTCCTCCTCTGCAGGACTCATGTGGCTTGTGTATTGTCTTTTGGAGCTTGGAAAGAACTTCCTTTTCTGGAACCTCTTTCTACCTCATCCCAGATTGGAGTTTTATTTGTGAAGGACAGAGGGGCTAGAATCAGAGTAGGTCATCTCACTAAGAGAAAGGGTACAGGCTAGAGTTCAAGCCTGAGAAAGAGTCCTGAGGATGCTGACACACACCAACTACACACTACACACAGAACAACACCCACCCCCACCCACCCCCACACACATACCTAGACACATATACCTATATCACACACACATATCTATATACACACCTCTACCACATACACACACAACTTACATACACACGCACCTAGATGAATATACCTATATCACATACATACACACACATCTATACATACACCTATACCATATACACATACCCCACACACATACCTACACATACACACCTGTACATACAGACACACACACACATACCTAGAAGCATATACCTATATCACATACACACACACAAACACACACATACCTACACATACCCCTACATATACATATCTATATGCATACTTATGCATACACCTATACACACACCACATATACATAGTCCACATACCACACACACACCAAACTCTCAAGTTTACATACATCACATACATATGCCACACACTACACATATTCCCCCATATACACATACCACACCCCACACATATACGCATACCTAAATATACACATTTCTACAAACATACCATACTTTACACACAAACACCTGAAATGCTTCCAGTCAGACC